TGGGGTCCCATTTTTGATTTGATCCCCCATATATATCACCAAATCCAGGGATAAGATTGGTTACACTTTGGATGATACCAAAGCATGAGGCATGCAGCCCGCAGCTTTTGGGTGTTGGATTGGGATCACAATGCAATCACAATCCCAATCCAATACCACCGGATCGGATTGCTAGGGTGATCCAATCCCTTACTTTTTGATACTTGGTATCAAAAAATTGATCCAACCCAATTGGATTGGTTTCACCGTTGCCTCCAGCTTTCAATCTTCTTGTTTGGTGTCTCTTATTTGTTTTGGTCAACCAAATCTTTGAATTTCAGTTCACCAATTATATGAAGAAATCTCAGCAAACTGATGGCAGTTCAAATGTAAGCTGTACCATCCTGGAAATCATTCCAATGTAATTTCCTTTTTGGATGCACAGTGGCTGTGCATTGAAGTATGGCTGAGGAACATCTGAGTACCAGCCTGACTTTCAAGAGAGTTTCTGCATGTCAATCAACTGGCAGCAGTTGCTCAAACCTTTATCACAGTGGCTGTATGTTTTGTTATCTTGGCCTGATAATTCTGTGACTGATGACCTGTTTTCTTTTCTTTTCTTTTTTTTTCCAAAGAAACAAAGAAACACAAGTTTATTGCATCTTAACAAGATTGTTTGCCCCTAAACTTAAACTAAGTCCTTGCCCCCCTTTGTTGGAGTGGTAACCTACTTGTTGCCTTGCACCGACTGGACGGAGGGTCCCTGTGGAACATTTTCCCCCCTCCAATTCGAGGGACTTGGTTAAGTTAATGTTTGCCCCAGCTATCATAAGATTGTTTGCTAGTTTTGATTACCTGAATCAAATAAAAAGAAGAGTTCAACAAACCCAGTAATTAAAATTTGATGTGGAGAAGACATAAGATGTTGCAGTTGAAGCAGTTTAAACAGGATCAATAAACTCCATCCAAATCCTAGGACTTGGTTCCTAAGATTACTACTAGATCATTAGCTTATTCTTGAAAAAAAAAAAAAAACAATTTTCTACATTATTTTGGGATTGACAGCTTGACTGGATTGACGCAAAGTTCTCCACAGGAGGTGTGTGTTCCAATGCCATCATCTAAGTATATGATTGATCTCGCCAAACCTACACTTATGCACATCACCCGAACAATTGTTACCCTTTCTTGAAGCCCTTGTTTTTTGATCTCATTAATTTGAATCACGTTTGTTTGTATTTTATTTTTCTTCTCACTCTCTCTATCTATCAATGTACATCAAACCAACCAAACCAAAAAAAAAAACATCAAAGCCAAAAAAAGCAAGAGTAGAAGATCAGAAGAACAAAAGCAGACCAGCAAATATAGGAGGATAGATTGAAGAAAGAGGGATAAAGAAGAATACAAATGGCTCATAAATAGACATGATGTAAGTTGATGAGAAAGCAGGAAAAGATGGTGTATCAGATTGAACACGAGAAGGGCCATCATCGAAAGCGAATCCAGAACGTTTTCAGCCGTAGCATACAGCGAGGGGTAGATTTCGAGGGATCAGGGTTGATTAGTTGTCGAGGTTTTCAGAGCCAGGAGGGCGAGAGTCGGTTGGGCCGGAGAGAGTGTTTTCGGGCAGGGAGTCCGGATCGAGGGGAGAGGAGTTAGCATGAGTGTCGGATTGGACAGACGTGGGACCAGGGTGATTGTTATCGATAGTCGACGGCGGAGACACCGTCGTCGTCGTGGTCGTCGTAGCAGGCGGAGGAAACAGGTCGGTCTTCAACGTGTTCAGGACCGGGTCGATTCGCTCAAAGGTTGCATTCCATAGATGGCTCTCTTCGGCTGACGGATTCTCATGGGGAGGGATCAAGAACCCAGAGGCATGCATGACCAGTAAGACGTTCTTCAAGTTCTCAGGTACGGCCTCATACTGTGAAAATTATTCACAACAAATAAATTGATCAAGTTAGTCAAGAATCAGATAGGGCTTGTTAACACAAGATGCGAAAAAAATGCCTCAAGAGGCTGGTAAGGCAGGAGAAAGATGAAAACATACCATTTGGTCTCTCCTACCACTATGCATAAACCGATCCAAGAAGCCGAGGATTTGCAACCACAGCTCGGTCATTCTCGGCATGCCCTGCTGACTAAGTTGGACCAAGTAATGGAGGAAGATTTTGCAGAGGAGGCCGGAAGCTCTGAGGCGAGTTTCGCCCATCCCGTCGGGATCTCTGCGGAAGACCTGGGGCTTCAAGAGTTCCTCGAGCACGGGGAAGAGGACGCGTTCGAAAATGATCGTCAGGTCGACGTTCCCGTTCGACAGGATCTCCGGGGCCATCAATGAGCGTTGTAAGTTGGCTAGCGCTTGCTGCCGCACCTCCCGGTTGCCGTTGATGCTCTGTTGGCCATAGGCTAGTAAGACGGGCATCCAAAATGATGCCCACGGTCGTGATCGGTCCGATTGCGCTTTGGCTAACATCCCTGGTATCATCTCTTGCGCATTTTGAATCATTCCCACTGCTTCTAATGCCCTCTGAACCACCTGTCCATCCGTCCTGCTTTTTTTGTTTGTTGAGTTACACACACAGATCACCACCGTTTTTATCAGTCACTTGCTTCGTTTCTCTTTTGGAGATTATTGAGGAGGTGTGTCCACTCACTTAGACACGTTCTGAGTCGGAAACCTCGCCGAGCCGTCTTGCCCACAAACGCTGGCAAAGGAATTCAAAGCCGAGATGAATGGGGCGAAGTTTTCGGCGACGATTCCAGGGGGCAATTCGCCAACAGCTAATTTATTGAGCACTTGGAACGACTCCTTTGCAGCTTCCTCGATCCCAGCCGTAGCCGTGAAAATCGAAAACAGCATATTCCACTGCGTTGACGTTCTGAAGCGTATACAGAATAGATGGGTAGAACCGAAAGAGATAGCTGGTGAGTAACAAATCCTGGAGACACATCACGGGTTTCAAGAGAAGTAAGTATACTGACCTGAAAACTTGCGGGTTCCCACACGCAATCTGACAAACGCCATGGATCATAGGCTGAGCAACGGAATTTAGGATGGTCTGTTGCAGGGATCGGAAGACATCCAAGGCCAAGAAGAACTGATCGCGAAGGGCCTCCTGTTCGACGGCAATCGATTGTAGGCGGAGCAAGCCAGCAATGGCACGCTCGACGAGCAGCTGGCTCAACATCACCGAGTTGGCGAGGATCTTCGAGATACACTCGAAGGCTGGAAGCCATAATTTGCTCAACGCCTCCGGCTCGTGAGTGGCTACTGACACGATCAACTCGAGTAGGAATAGCGCGCTCGGATCGTAGTATGCCTGTGATCGGGCCCATTGCGGTGATGATGGGGGAGAGAGATGATCTAGATTGGCGCCTCGCGCTCGAGTGGCTTTGGCTACTTGACCGTCAGCCAGCTCTGCCAGAATCCTCAGCAAATTGTATCGTAACTCGACATCCATCGTACTAGGATAAGTCGAGACACTGGTAAGCTCATCATCGAACGTGTATCAAACGATTTTGAAGTGAAACTCACAAGATACCATTATATACTTCGGCGAAATGACAAGACGCCAAGCAGTCGATAGCACAAAGCGTCGACTCAACGTCATCGTTTGTAATCTCCCTTCCGATCCCATCGGAGGGCCCGACGTAAGGCGACAAGAGATAAGAAGATAGAGTGGAGAGTAATCCAGCATCCGCTCGTCGTTCTGGGGGTTGAGCGGGTGACTTGGGGGGCCGGATGGGAATCGTGCCGACATTAGCAAAGTCAGGTAAGAGTAAAAGCTCATTGGGGAGGATAGAATGGGCGAATAAACTTTGCATGATCTCAAAGATGTATAGCCATCCTCTTCTGATAGCATTTCCATCGGTGCTAGCTACTGTGAAAAGGACGACAGCAGCCAATTGGGCCTTGAAGTTCTTTCCAAATCGGATCGAGAGCGGACTGATGGTCAGAGTTTGACCATCCGCGGGGATAGTCGGGAAATTCACTTCAGGCGATGGCTGGTGAATCAGATCGGTGATCCGAGCTAAGGCTGCAATCGTCTCGTCGAACACATCTGGCAAGCTGAATCGACTGGCTAGCGTTGCGCATTGCTGGAAGCCAGCGACGATCCTTTGCAGCATGAAATCATCGTTGAAATGGGTGAAGGCGTAGGATAAGGAAGAAACAATCGGCTTCCATGAGACTTCGAACATCGCTTTATCGAAAATATTCGTGTTACACGTGATAAACGTTCCTGTAGTAGTGATGTGCTTCAAGTCAGTGACAGAGTGACAACCAATCGAGCGGATGGCCCTATACATCCTCAAGCTTTGTAAGGTCAAAGCTCAAGACCCACTATCAAAATGACATCAGCTGCTTTGCATCAAGTGTTACCTTTGGCTAGCTCGGCAGGTTGAGATTTGCTGCCTGGGATAGGTACAAGTGCAGGATGGCTTCTTCTGCGTGTGTGCTGTAACAGTGGGTCTTGAGCTCGGGGATCTACCAAGCTTGAAGACGTGGAATCCTCTACTTGAAACATCTTACTACTTCAGAGCACGTACCTGCTTTTTTGGATCGTCGTTGGAGCTCCTTCCAAGCGTACTCAAAGCCAAGCTGGCCAGAATGTTCTTCGGGCATGACGATTTCTCTTTTCCTGATCGAGTCAAAGATAGCTTTCTAATAATCTCACACATCAACTTCCTGTTTTTCTCTTCAATCATCACGCCCGGTAGAAACTACTGACCAGATATTCTGCGCTGAAATCCTCGCCATCATTGACACCCCGAAGGTTTCGTTTGTAGTCTTCTAAGGTCATCTTTTTCTGTTGTGATGGAATGATTGATCAACCAATTGATTTAGAACAGTTTAAACTATTGAGGTGCTGATGAGACTAACGCGGTTCTGAGGGTTGTGTTGATCGGTATTGAGCATGATGACAGAGTAAGACAACACATACGCCGCGTCTTCGGTCTTCACATCATCTGTTTTTCACGTGTTAAAAAAAGCAATTCATCAATAAAGATGGCAAAACTGTGTGAACCCCAGATGTGACTAACGAGCACCAGCAGCCACGTAGACAGCTGCAAACACTTCCGTGATTCGTGCGATCTGCTGCGACTCTCCAGGTAGCCGGAAGGTTTCTAGAAGTTCTCGAAGGCAATCGGAAATTAATTTCTAGAGGTGACAAAAGCAAAGCTCGAGTCAAGTGTGGGCTAAAAGAAACTCAAGGGTGAGGTTTATTGTGTGTTAGGTTTCAGATCACGTACGCCACGGAAATCAAAGAGAGTCATAAAGGCTTTCAAAACCTCCAGATTTTCTGGTCTAGAGATATACTCTCCAAGCAGTTTCTTATCTAATCGAGGGCAAGTTTTGAAGAAGAAGGCGAGACTTTGAGGGCGCGGGAGGGTAGGGTCATCGTAGATGATCCCCTTGGCTTCCAAAAACTTGAGTCCTTCCTTCGGCTTCTGGTTGAACTTGGCTGCCCCTTCGAGTAAGGCGCGTTTCCCCTCCTTGTCTCTGGCTAAGAGTACCGGAGCGGGCACGTCGACTGATGGCTGGACCGAAGACTCCAATCGGTTGATCATGTGCCCTACGAAGGCCAGTAATGTATCCAGACATAGTACTTGGGAACCCTCTTGAGATTGTGAGTATGCTGGATTGAGCGGATAAATCCCCTGACGAGGCGAAAAGAGTTTCAGCACAAGATTAAAGAGGTTTGAGATGAGAGGGACGTCCGTGATCAGAAAGGATACATGAGAAATTAACTTACTCTAGCTAGGAATCGAATCAGTCGCTCGAAGATGTCTTCACAGTCGACATTGCAGTCGAAATTCGCCCAGAGATTGGCCATAAAATCTGGCACTCTAGAGAAATGTGCGAGATATTCAAGCATTAGCTGTCTTGCTTCACCGGTAGCCACCATGGCTTGACGGGCAGCAATCGTATGGTTGCGGGAAGAGTTAGGTGTGGAGGACGCAGTCGCAGTTGGTTGAGGGATTCCATCGATCCCGTCCAAGTGCTTCCAGGTGATCTTGTCAAGTTGTTCTTCAAATTCGGCGGTCGTACCGGTATGGCCATTGGTCAGTTTATGGATCGTCAGAGTGGGATGCGGACGAAGCCTGTCCATGAGATATGATAAGAGTAGTTCTAGATGGATCTTGAGGTAGGGTCGCATGGTATCGAGTAGGTTGGTCATACAGCGTAGAGAAGTGGAGAGGATGCTGATGTTCTCAGATCGGACGAGCTGGAAGAGGTTTTTACACAAGTCGTCGGAAACCATGGCTCTTAAACTGCGAAATCGACCCACGTCTTGTCCAGCAACTTCGAAGACGGTAATCAAAATGTTCAGTGCTGTCAAGCGCATTGTATCGGTATGCTGTGGGTCGTAGGGATCTAGGAGGGAGATGAGTACACGCATGAGCTCTTTAATCGAAGGTAACCCATGTGGTTCCAAATCTTCTGCCATATCTTCATTTAGATCTTCCCCCTCGCTTGTTGCCCCATTAATCGTTGGCTCTGGCGTGGGTTCCTTAGGAGGCTGAAGTAGGGCTTCTTTCTCATCGTCAATTGGTGGCTCTTCGGCTTTTGAAGATTCTTCTGGGAGGCTGGACGATGCCTTTTGTGAGAGACTTTGACTGCGTTCACGCTCTTTGTTGGCGAGGGATGAGGCGGCTGGGATCGAGCCACTTCGTGGATCTGGTGCTAACATCCTTAGCCGTTCCTTGAGCCCATTCTCCTCGTCTGTATCGTCATCTGGGACAAAGTCATCGACGGATGGATTGAGATTCTTGAGCCTTCCGAAGATCGCAGAAACCATGACTTGCATCGTCCGCTCGGCAGACCGACGGAGCATCTCTGCAACACAACAGTTGAAGTTAAAGAAAGAGTGGTGGTTGATACTATGGACTGTTAGTGATGATTTACTGACCACTGAGTCTCATCTGACAACACATGCTCAGACCAGTTTCCATCATCTGACAAACCGCCCCATCGGTCAAAGTATATCCTACCGGGCCGGTGAGCGCATGTTCGAGGACGTCCAAGATTTTGAGCAAGACGATCTCGTCGCTGATGCTATCGCTGGCCTCGAAGCGACAGTGAGTTCCGGCAGCACTGACCTGAGACATGGCGATCGGAAGGGATGATGAGTTGGGATTGATGAAGGAGTAGGTCAAGAACTTGTCGATCGATGATAAGGCCAGGGCAGTGATCGGCCCATTTGTCTCGTTCGACCTGACCACCGCTAGGAATGGACTCAGTAGAGTTAAGGCGTCCAACTGTGAAATATCTAAGGTGTCATAATGTCAGTAATTTTTTTTCTTCATGTTTCGATTTGGATCAAGATAAGCTCAAGTAGGAATCCTGACCTTGGCATTCCCTCAGTTCCATAATTAGAGTAGCAAATCCGGCCATCAATCCACCTCGAACGTGAGAATAATTGGAGCTAGCCAGTGAGTTATGGTTAGTATTATTACTACTACTACCACTACTATTATTATTATTGATGTTATTTGATGATTCATCGACACCGGTTTTGAGATTTCGTAGTCCGATCACAGCACTAGATCCGGCTGCTCGATCAGCCTGGAGGTTGGCCAACGGAACAAACGGCGAGATGCTGCTCCCGGCCCATCTCGAGTTCCTCCTCATCGCACTCGTCACCGCCCTAATGGTTCCCGAGAGCGTTTTAGAAAAGTCAGAACCAAAGTGATGATAAATTGTTGTATAATGTTTCAAATGGTTTACTCACACAATCTCTCCATGGATGATGTTGAATGCTGAGGCCTGGAAGTTCCATGGATGGTGGCCAGGCTGAGGTTCTGCGACTGTCATGATTGGTTGTCTGTAGTTGGTTTTGTTTGTTTGTGTTTGTTTGTTGAGGTTATCTCTCTTCTTTAATGGCTCCTCGTCATCGATGTGTGTAGTATTTTGTGGTTGCTGGTTGGTTTTCTCTGATGTATGCAACACCACGAGTGCCAGCGAGACAGACCACTGTCACACCACTCAACCACTCAACTTCAACACAACACCTTAACAAAAAAAAGATACCAGAACCCTCCCCATCATCATGCTCATCAAACAGTAAGAAATTCAACAGTACCAAAAACAACAAATGGCTTGGATTGACTGAGACTCATTCATACCCAATAAAGATCTCAAGACCTATTGAAGGGCCTTCTCTGTTAACTATCTCTCACTGACAAGATTCTTAACACATTCAGAAAAATCAGCTCATCTATCAAATTCTGATAGAAAAGTAATTCCTTTTATTCAGTTCCATCTGTGGGTCGAAAATGAGCACAACTTACAAAGAGTGTAATCTGCTATTTAAGAGCACTCTAGTCAACTCTTTGTGAGAAGCTTTTGGTGTTAGGCATCACTTGATCAAAAAAAAAAAATGGAGTGGATAGGGATTTTATATTTTTCAAACATCAAAATCAGATTTAATTTATTTCACTGGGAGCACTCATGAATCCTATGATCACTATATGTATATAGATGGCTCAATTCAAGTGTATATTCCTCAATAACAAACAAATAGAGTAAATATCCTTGGATCAACTTTTGTGAATAGTGACATCATAGTGTAGTGATCTTTTACACTTTGTTATATTCTTGAATTCCCATTTTCTCCATTGGTCAAACTGTCATCCTGTTTGTCATTTTCCTACCAACAGGTGTTTTTGTTTCTTCTTCTTTTTCTTATGGTTGTTTCCAGCTGTGGATGTTTGTGTTCAATTTTTTTAATCTTTTAACCATTAAAACATCTGTCTGATGAGTGTTTTTTTAAGTCATTTGAGTCATGACCAGTTGGCTAGGATGTGTTAGTTGCAGCGTCATGATGAAGAGACAGTCTGACTGGGTATTAGCATCATCGTCATCCCACGCAGAATATGCTTCTATCGGGTTTCGGCCGATTCCGTCAGACTCACAAACCACCAAGTCCTGCCTTTCCTCCGCACAGCCAACCAACAACCACCAGCCAAGACTCCAACGACAACACCATCGATCTCAAGCGAATAAAAATGGCTCGACCTTCAGCAACCCCGTGAGTGGACACTCAAACGAGGAAGGATAGTGGCCGCTCAAGCTGACATCCGATCCTCTCCTCCTGCTCGGAACCAACCATGATAATAGACGTCCCCGATTCGCTCCTAACATCAAGCCCCAGCCGCATCTCATGGGCGTCACCTCCTCAGTACTCAGCCGATGGGCACCGATCCTCGGCGTGAGTACACAGACAGCATTTTTCATTGGATGTGATTTGTAGACATGGTCGCTGATCGGTACATATCGGTCATGTCGGTCCTCCAGATCTGGGGCGCAGGTGGAGCCGCATTCGTCACCCTGGCCGCATCCGCAATGTCCGTCCTCTCCTGTCCTCTTCCATGTCCTCGTTCTAGACGATCTCCTTCGCTCCCTCTCTTGCTGACTGCTCTTTCCATATTCTCCTGCTTCAAAACTTTGGATGTTCAGTCCTCGTTTCCAGGAAGACGTATTGAAGAAGATCCCTGGTGTAAGCTTCTTCATCCCATCTACTCATCTTGAGAAACCTTCACCACATGCATACATCTCACTGATCGTTTTTTTTTTCGGCTATGCTATGGTCCTCTGATTATTAGGTCGCCTCGTACTACGAATCTACCGTCCCCGATTGCGACAAACCCTTCTAAAGCATCCTCAGCTATTTTCCCCTTCAACCTGTTCTTGTTTTATCGTCGAGACTATTTCACTTTCTTCCATAGTAGATGTAGGAAATAGATTTTTTTTCAAAAGTCATTTTGTGCAGATAGGTCACCCTGCAGGCGATTATAGTTTCACTAATTAAACAGGTTTGTAGCACAACTATTAAGTGATAAGCGTCAAATTCAGACCGTTGGGAACTTGGAATTGATCAATGCGTGGTAAGACACTGGATTCAATCGGGACGAATGGGCATTTTTGCAAGCACAAGTTGACTAGGCAATTGTAGAGACACATTGTACTCTAAGATGAGATCATTTTTGATCTGAGGACAATCAAGAGAAAGCAAGTTGCAACTAGGGGGTTTCTATCTTCACCCACGCACTAATTATTATGGTGGATCTATAGTAATACAAAATTCATCAGTATGTGTATCTTGGGGAATACCCTGTTAGGGTAGGTAAAACTTGAAATTGGTGGAGGCCCAACTGTTCCCACTGCCAGGAAATATGTATCAGAAGCTCACAATGGATGCTCATGAATTCTTGATTTTAAAACAATATTTATCTTGGTATGTTAAAGATAGTAAATTCTCATCTGAATCCTGATAACTAATCAACAATTTTCATAAACCACATGTTTGTGTATATTGGAAGAGCTTTCATTGTTTCAATTTGGTGAGGAGTTAGATCAATCACTTTGAGTGTGAATTTACGGATCCATTCAATCATTTCTGGTTCATCAGGGTGTTGAATTTGATGATGTTGGATGAGACTCCAGATCTCCCTTTGGAGATGAGATCCATTGTGAGGATTTTGTTGATAAATTTTGAGGAAAGTTTTCATGAACTCAAGTTTCTTTGTTAAGGACCTCTGATAAAATGGATTAGATCTGAAGTTCCTCATGATTGGTTGGTAGAAATCCTCCAGGAAATCAATGAAGAAACAGACTAATAAGAAATCTGGTTTTGTATGAGCTTCTGGATCAAATAAAGGGGGATCATTGAAATAGTCAATCAGGGTTTTGATCTGGAGGAAGATTGGGTTATTCTCAACCCAAGTCTGTTCTCCAGGCCTGAAGTGGATCAGACACAATTCTCCAGAGAGGTTGTTGATCTTCTTGATGAATTTGTCATCAGAAAAAGAGTGGAAAAACTCGGAAAACTCTGGGAGCTCTTCTTCCCGGGATGTGATCAGGTTGAAATTCTTCACGATGCTTTTTAGACAGAGGTAAACAATGACCATCTCATCGCCCTTATAATCTGTTCATAAAGCGAGTTCATTGTATGTTAGGATTTAAAAGCTTGGAAAAAAATTCCGAAGGTCCAGAAGCTCAGACGATATGTAGACTCAAGAATCAAAGGAAGCTAATCTCACCTTCAAGTGATTTCCTGAAATACCCTACAAACTCATTAGTTTTCAAGGATTCCAGCCGAGGCACGACTGTGTCGACACTGATCAAAAAGTTGATTCTCAAGGCAGATATTTTAAGCTCAGTATGGAACTGGACCATCTGAGCAATTGTGAGCAAGTCCCACTTGAAATGACGCAGATATTTTGGGAAGTGTGTCATCAGATCGTCGCGTAAGAGGAACATGGCCTTCAGGAATTTCAACTTGGGATCCGGATCCTGCTCGAATAAAAACTGGCCGACTTCAGAGGCCATTTCCTGGAGCTTTGATGTCAGACGGTTCCATATCTCGAGCATCTTGGAGTCGGATACTTTGCAAGATGCGAACGGATATATTGTGGCCAAGTCTGTGCCCAACGCCGAGACTTGTGCACTTTCTTGCTGCTTGATTAGCCATTCGATTCGCTTCTCCAGTTGCCACGTTTTTCGCGCCTTCTTCTCGGCTGCAGTCTCCTCTTGAACAACAACAAGAAGAAGAACAAGTTACATATGACGCATGAGGTGTTTCGACAAGATTGTATCAAAGGTTTACCTCTCTTTCTGTCGGCCTTCTGTCGACTTGCTTCGGCCTGCTGGATCTGATGTCGGAAAAACAGCTCTTGATCGTCGTCGGGTCTAATCCTCGTCGCATCCGACGGACCTGCGTTGTTTTTGAGCTGGGTTTCCATCCCTTGTAGGAAAAGGACACAACAATGAAGACGATCAAGCCAGATAGATAAGCAAAGCGAAATGAGATTTGGATGAGCTGTCGTACTCAAAGACTCCTCTGGTTCAAGCCTAGCCAAGACGGGTGTTATTGCCAGGCGACTGACTCCCAATGAGTATAAAACGACGCCAAACGCCGACCTCTTCGATTGAAATCGCATTTTGGTGGGGGTGGAAGCAGGATGAAGCGGACGCGAATCATGGGAATCCCCCCCCCCCCCTCTCAAAATTGAATCGACTCACTGCGCTGGACTTGAACCAGCTTGAGTACACACACGGCACGCACTCGGCACTCGGCAGCCTCCAGTCTTCAGGTTCTTCCGGCTACTGCGAGAAACATGTCTGACAAGAGTCCCATATCGGAGGACGCTCGAAATTGCGGCTGAGCTGCCTTGAGCAGGCTGAATGCTGTCTACTGACTTCGCCAGTCACGACCATACCTGACCATTCAAAAGTCCAGCCAGCGCCTCGCTGCATCCAAGTCGATCTTAGAGAGAGAGAGAGAGGCCGAGGAGGGCCGATAAAGGCGCGGAGCACCTGCAAAAATATAGGGGCTCTGCGGGGTCTGCCAAGACGACTTTCTTTTAAGTTAAACTAACGCACGTTCGAGGGGTTGGACTGTGAAGTTTAGCTGAGTGAACAGCCGTGCCACTGCCGTGGTACATGGCCGGTGGACAGTCCATTAACAATACTCGAGAGCCACCCCGCTGTTAGACTATGCTTGAGTGGATGAGGTGGAGAGAACGGCGGCTTATCTTCCTTATCATCAAAGCCCCTCCGACTAATAGGCAAGTGTGCCGAGGAAGGCCGGTTTAGGCGGGAGGCGGCAGGGAGACTTGTGGGCATTCTCCGACCACCTGAGGCCTGCGTATAATATAGCTTTGATGCCTTTAGTCGGAGTGGGCGGGATAAAACAGTCATCTCATGACCGTTGAGTCATCGTATCTGTGATGCGACTGCAGGTGACTCTGCTCAAGCCCAAATTTCAATGCATGCTCACTCCACAACATTTCCACAAAACATTGTTGAGACGTCTCTTTTGTTTTCCTGCATCATTCTTTCCTTGCTTTCCTTGAAGGATCGAGCCGGCCAAAGAAATTGAGATGGAAATCAAGGATGAGGGTTTGGTATGTACTAGGACACCATTCAAAAAAAAAAAAAAAAATCAGGGATATTCTTCCACAACACCAACAACGGTGTTGTCTGTGGATGATTGCTCCCTCAGATTTTGATCTGCTCCCCAATCAACCGCCATGAACTGGGAATCAATTGTTGCTTTGATGATAATATTTGGTATTTACATTCGACAGGACTAATGAGATGGATAGGACTTGGATGAGATACTATGTTGGTTGATTGAGGGAAAGATGACCTGATGAACAATGTCCACATCCAGCTTATTGTTGTGGTGCCGGATTGGCTGCGGTTGAAGTCCATTTAAGTTTGGGTGATACCGAGGTATCCGAGTTTGTACATCATATCCGACCCTGGAGGGATCAGATGATGCTCATTACCATTTCACATTTACACATTTACACATCAAGAAGCCAAGAAGAACCACTCAAGCTTGACTAGGATCAGAACCAACAACTACATTGTGTATGTATGTCTATAATCTGGTTAAGAAAGAATGCTATAAATGGACTGACAATTTCCGCCTTCATAATCACAGATTATCAGAAGCTCATCGAAGAGGATGGCGTCCATCAATTACAGGACGATGATACGCTCGCGTGGATATAAGATCGGGACGCTTGCGGCTCGGAGACTGAGGATTGTCGAGCAACGATATGGGTTCTCTACCACCGGCGTGCACCGGATGGCTGAACATCGTCGAGAGAACTCGATCGGGTTTATCGGACTAGGTGAATTCAATCCCATCAAGTTCAACGAGGAGACGAGAGTCAAAAGAAGTGACTTATCGAGTCTAATCTCACTTCTTAACGATTTATAAGGCGCCATGGGACAGGAAATGGTCAGCCAAAGTCCAAGCTCCTCTCGTATTACACCGCCTACAGAAAAGCGATTTTTCCTACATGTAAAGTGACCCGAACCTGTCGTTTTTTTGGGACGGGATAATTGATCCAGGCGTCCAACTTGTTGAGCAAGTTCCCGTCTCCGATCAGCGCCTTCGTGATCCACGATCACTCGCAATCGGTCTGCTTTTTTTTGGGTCCCCTAATTAAACAGACTCATAATCTTTTTCTAGAGGGTAGTCAAACGCTGACGGTTGTTAAATTCGATGGGGGGGGGGGGATCTCCAAAGTCAGTCGCCCGTTTCGTTGACCGGCATCCTTCTCTCAACGCCGACTCTACTACTCGGATTGTAACAGCGACTAGTAAGCCTTCAACACAAAACAAGTTTTTTTTTAACTCGAGATCAAGATGAGTGAAACGACCAAATTGGACCCCACAGCGCCGGCTTCAGTTGCCAGACAAGCGTCGACGATCGTGACGATGCTTCCGTCCTCAGCGGAGGTTTCGGCGGTCTACTTAGACCCCAACACAGGCATTCTGCGCGGGATTAATGAAGAAGAACACTCATCCTCAGCCACCTTGTGTATAGATTCGACCACCCTAGATGTCGGTTGTGCGACGACTGTTTCGGAGAAGCTGCGGGCGGCGGGGGCCGTGGAGATGATCGATGCCCCCGTTTCAGGCGGTACATGAAAAAACATTCTCTTGCTCACTATAGTGTTTCCTCATTGTTAAAAGTCTAATTGACATCAAGCAATCCATCATCAGGCGTCGTAGGGGCTAGAGAAGGCACGTTGACGTTCATGTGTGGGGGTCCTGAAGAGACCTTCAACAAGGCGCAACCATTCCTGAACGCCATGGGCAAGAAGACGATATACTGCGGGAAGTCGGGGAGTGGATTGGCGGCCAAACTGACCAACAAGTCAGTTACTGATATATAACAGTCCCTTATATTTCCTTCATTGAAACTCATTTCCATCACCTTAACCGACTGCCCTTTTTTTGACATTCATTTCATAGCATGTTGTTGGCGGTCTCGATGATCGCTACTTCGGAGGCGATGCTTCTCGGCCAAAGACTGGGTCTCAAACCCGACCTGCTAGCCCGCGTGATCAACTCGAGTTCGGGGAGATGTTGGAGCAGTGAAGTGAGTAGAACGTGTCGAGGGTTGATATTGAGGGAGGACGATGATGCTAAAATGATATCTTTGGCTTCTGGATAACTTGTCTAATAAAAGATTAATAATCCTGCACCTAGCGCACTTCTCCCATCCAAGAGGACCCCGGCAGACGATGATTGGCAGGCAGGCTTTGCGAGCCGGTTGATGGCCAAGGACCTCGGATTGGCCTTGCAAGCCGAACCTGCTCTCCTCCCCGAGCACCTCCCCGTCTCTAATCTGGTCAAGGAGATCTACCTCAGACTTACCTCGGACCCTGCGTTCTCTAATAAGGACTTCAGTGTGGTTTATGATTGGCTTCAAAACAATCACTCTCAGAAATAAATCCAGTGATCTTGATCTGTAGTTTTTCTTTCTTGTATTATGCTCTGGTTTGTATTATTTGGTATGATCATGTATGACTATGTATGTATCTCAGCACAAAGTGCGGGAGTTTCTCTTTGTGAAATGTGTGATTCTCTATCGATGATTGCAATGAAGTTAAATACATGACAGTAACATGCCATGGTGGGCTCTCAGTCACTGTAGTTTTTCTTCTTGTCTTTTTGGGTGCAGTGATCTCTCTTGGATGGATGGCTGTGATGTGAATCATGAGAATGTGGTGCAAACCCTGTGTAACGAGCAAGCACAGCCCCCAGCAAAATTTAAAAAATTATTATGAGAATGGTTTTAGCTAAAAGAAGGATCGAGATTTTAGGTAAGATTTGAAAGAGAATTTCAAGAAGTTTTATTGTTTCAGAAGAGAAAGATAAGACTAATACCATATTTTGAGTCAGAAAAAAGAAGTTTAAGACAAGAAAAGTGAGAAAGTAAATATTAAAGAAGAAAGAAGTTTTGGAAGTTTTTAATCTGTAAAGAAGTAGAGATCAGTACGAGTTAAAATCAGTTGTACCTAGAAAAATATTTAAGAAGACTTGTAGTCGCTTTGAGGGTTTCTTTCCTCATGGCGAAATCTTTGTTTTATCATTAACATCAAAATTGCCGTAATCAAAAAAATCTTCCTTACCTTACAAAAGAAAAAATAATTAGCGTGCCCGATCCGTGTTGCTTGTTCTGTGGATCTTCCTCGTTTGCTTGTCTGGGGCTGCTGTGACCTTAGTTGTTACACCCTGGGCCTGGAGTGGAGGTAATTCTTACATAAGCCAGATCAGTTCCTTCCTTTCATCCACCTCATCAGACTCAAGACAACCTGCACCTTGACCCTACCAACTTCTCACTCATCATGGTCAACAAGAACATCAGCAACAACTCATCCAAGCCCAGCCCAACAACAGTGAGTGTCTCCCCCCCTCAGACTCAGAGAATCAAGAAGTTGCAATCAAACTGATCATCTGTCTCTTTCTTCTTTCTTCTTTCTCCAAGTGGCGACAATTTAACTTCTTCAACTCATACCCACTCCATTCATCATCCGACCTAGCAAACCCACCCGACCTGCTCACTCAACCCCAGTCAATAGCCACCATCCAGCCTGGCTTTGGCTCGACCATCCTTGCCCATCTCGATGGAAGGATCTCCTTACTCGACCCTTCACTCGATCTACTCCGATCCTGGTCAGCCTTCCCCGGTGGTAGAACCCTGCTCGTGAAACCCACCTCGATCAAGGGTGTACTCATCTCAATAGGCGTCCGTCCTTGTTTGTCATCTTCTTCAACCATATGTATAAAACACACACACTCCAGCTTAACATGCTCATTCAAATAACCTCTGATCTATCATCATAGGAAGAAGCCGGTAATAGCATCCCGATCCTCAAGATCTGGAACTTACGTCATGAGGATAAGCAATCCTCTGCACCTCAACTACTCGGTTTCTCGAAAATTCAAAACGGGAACCGTCCTCATCCAGTCAGTGCTAAATTCTATCTATTATCTAGCTCGTTTCACAGGTTCTGAATCTTAAAGAACCACAAAAAAAACAGGTCACCACTTTGGCGCTCTCTCTCAACCTGTCTTACCTTGCCGTTGGGTTGGCCGATGGTACAGTCCTCCTCTATCGACATCTCGATCAAGCACTCGTCTCTGCTGCTTCCGTCACGCACATCAGTCGCCCCCCTCCCCTACTACCCAAACCAAAGATAATTTATACTTCCCCAGAACCGATCACCGGTTTGGCCTTCCGATCACCCAAGCCAAGCTCGAATCAATCATATTTCTCGAACGCAGACTCATCAGACCTCGATCCGAAACCTTCGAGCACGCACCGGCATACATGTCTTTTCATCGTCACTACCGCCAAGGTGCTTTGCTTTTTCACCTCTGGCCGTGGAGCTGGTTCGGGTGCAGAGCCGATCGTGATGGATGATCTGGGCGGCTCGATTGGCTGTAGCGAGATGATGGAGAACGGGGACCTCATCTTGGCGGATGAGTCTGCCCTGTACGTCTATGGCCCTGAGGGGCGAGGGGCCTGTTTGGCATACGAAGGCCCCAAGGCGAGGCTCAACAGTTGGGGGAACTACCTCGTGATTACCTCCCCTCCAAGCTCTACTGGCCTCAAAAACGAACTCGAACAGACTCGAGTCATCGTCTTTGATCTTCAAAATCGCTTTATCGCTTTCAACTCTCTCTTCCGAGGTACCGTCTTACATGTATGGGCCGAGTGGGGTGAACTTTATGTCCTAACCTCATCAGCTGAGGTTTGTCACATGTATTTCTTTTGTCGACCTAAAACTTGATCGTATCTAATACTCCCTTACTTTCTTGAAAAAAAAAAAATACAACAGGTCACCAGACTAGTGGAGAGACCCCTAACAGAAAAACTGTCAATACTCTACGATAAGGATATGTATGTCCTGGCAACTAATGTAGCCAAGTCAAGCGAAGCGGATCCTAGCGAATTATCGGAAATTTATCGAAGGTTTGGAGATTATCTGTATCAAAAATCTGATTTCGAAGGAGCTGTTCAACAGTATATCAATACTATTGGGACTGTCCAGCCTAGCATTGTGGTCCGAAAAGTGAACATTTTTTTTTCAAAGTTTATATCTTCAGAATTGGAAGTGATTCATCAAGATACTTTTTTGTGCTTTGTTGTAGTTCTTGGATGCTCAAAGGATATCAAACTTGACGTCTTACTTGCAAGAATTGCACGCAAGAGGGATAGCTAACGCGGATCACACGACTCTACTGCTCAAGTCAGCTCTCACCTTTCCTCTACCTTCTAAGAAGGAAAGCCGGAAGCTGATGAGGATTGCTTTGAATTCTCCAGTTGCTATACCAAGCTGAAAGATCACGCGAAGCTTAATGATTTCATCAAAGCAAACGAACGTGCCTCTAGGGACAGTGGCGACCCGCTACCGTTTGATCTGGAAACGGCCATTCGAGTTTGTCGCCAGGCAGGCTACTTCGAACCTGCACTCTATCTGGCTAAACAGTATCGTCAGGATGAGGAATATTTGAGGATCCAAGTCGAGGATCGTGGGGAATGGCTTGATGCTGTGAATTTCATGAGATCTTTGGGGCATGTTGGTGTGAGTGTGTGGAAGATTATCTAATCTTCATCCAAAGCAGGGGTTTTTTTTCCAACCTAATTTTGTTAATTTCCTTATGTCGTCGTCCAGGCCGAAGAAAATCTACTCAGATACGGAAAGGCGCTTTTAGCTAATCTACCCGAAGAGACTACCGATCTGATGATTGATGTGTGTTCGGGGGTGAAGCTCGAGTCCGATGAAGAACCCTTGCCAGGATCCCCAGCGCCTTCGACTAATAGAGGCCGTCCCTCGTCATCGCGAGCGTATCTACCCTCTCGTCCAGGCTCGATGGCCACGCCAACCGTGATGAGTCCGACATCAGTCCAAGCCGAGAAACCGGAACCCAAGAGCTTGCCTTCGATCCGAGAGTTTTTCGCGTTCTTTATCGACCAACCGCAATGCTTTATACGGTTTCTAGAAACGATCGCCTGGAGGAGATGGAATGAACAGATGTGGGAAAAGGATGAAGTGCCGGATGATGAGCGGCCTGATAGCTTCGTCCAAGTCCCTTCGGTGAAGAAGATGCGGGCCGCAGATAAGAAAGAGCCTGTGGCAACCGAGCCGATCGTCGGGCCGTCTGACGAAGAAGATCGAGAAGCAGTATGGGGCACTCTATTAGAGCTATATCTTCAAACCTCTGCAGAAGCGGGAGACGGGCGAAGCGAGATGAGGAGTCGGGCGTTGAGTCTGTTGAGGAAGGGTGCGGAAGGGAGCAAGCTACGATATGAGCCCACCCAGGCTTTGATCGTCTGTCTGACACACGACTTCGTGCCCGGGATCGTGCTCCTCTACGACCGGCTCGGGATGGTCGAGGATGTCTTGAGGTTCTGGATCGAGCGGGCCCAGAGCGATGATCTTGTTGAGGCGCAAGAGGCGAAGACTAGGATCTTTGAGAACTTGGATAAGTATGGCGAAATGCATCCCGAGCTTTATCCTATCGTCTTGCGCTACTTCGCTTCCGCTGGTCATCTGCAATCTGAGACCTCTCATCAGTCAGTCGATGATCTTGATCATCATCATTTGGATGGGCTTCAAAAAGCTTTGGATGAAATCGATAGGCGAAAGATCTTGTCTCCCATCGAAGTTATCGAAATTCTCTCCAAACCCGGCTCCGCAGCTACCATCGGAACTGTCAAAAAATATCTGTTAAATCAAGTCTTGAATCAAAAGCATCAGATGAATTCTGTAAGTTTTCTCTCTCCTTTTTTCATTTATTCATTGATATTCATTTTAATGTGTTTGTGTGTGTGTGTGTTTGGGGTAGGATTTGGATTTGATAAATTCATATCGGAAAGAGATTCACAAGAAACGGAACGAAATCACCGACCTGGTCGACAAACCGAAGATCTTCAACTTGAATAATAAGTGTGCTAGTTGTTTTACGGCGTTGGACTTACCGGTCGTTCATTTTATGTGTCAACATTCTTATCATCAACGGTTCGTTTACAAAAGCTCCCCCTTTTCATGTGTTTTCTTGGGGGTTATTGATTGATAATTTCGAATGCATTCTTTTTTTTTTTTGAAAAACAAATGATAATGGAATGGATGCAGATGTTTAGGAGACCAAGAATCGTGTCTGAAATGTCTAACGAAGAGCGAAGAAGGAAAGCCAACGACGACAAGGATTGGAGGAGGTGGGGAGCATGACGAAGCGATGAAAGAGATGATGGGGTTAATCAGACGCAACAAGACCTTTGTCGACCCCGCGCCCCATGCAGTCTCTCAGCCTCAGCAACAACAACAACAGAAAGGCGGGCTTTCGGATCTGGCCAATCGGGCCGATGAACATCGGTTCTTCGTCGATGAGGTTCGCGAGGCTGATGATCCTTGTTCGTATCTTTCACTCCACTTCTTCTTTTTCTTCTCCCCACTTCCCCCCCCCCTTTTTTTTTTCTTTCTCGTCTTTGACTATCACCGGTACTCACTCTTTCTTTTGCTTTCGCTTGGTCTTCTTGGGGCCCGTGTTTATCGTCATTAGTCGGGTATATCGCCAGCTCATTCTCGAAAGGGATGTTGTAAACTTGAGCATCTATTTTTTCTTCTACACCAAAAAAAAATTATGATTAAGATGTCATTTTCCTTCCTTGACTTTTTTTTTCTCTTTTTCTGATTTAAATTAAAGCTTTTTTTTTGTATCATGTAGAACTTGATTTATTTATCGATGTTGGTCTCCTTTATAAATGACACACACTTGTCTCTTCTTGTTGTCATGATAGTTATCATTCTTTTTTTTTTTTCTTTGAGTTATATGTGTATGTAAATTCAGCTTGACCATACATACATATATGAATTCTATCCTTTTGTTGTTGAGTTGAAGAGGTGTAAAGAGAGATAAAGGAAGGCCTGGGAGGCTGGGAAGAGAGAAAGACTGGCCAGGTTCCCTGCCTTGAATATGTACAGTGGGTTATCTGATTTTTGCAGCACATTGTTTTGAATTACCCCAGTTCAGCAAGCAAAATTGAAGTGGTGGGAATTGGTGCAGTGGTGTAAAAGAGGATGCAAATGATGATTATGAAAACAAAAATATGAAACCTGTTCAGTAAAATTGATGAAAAATATTCACTTTAATGTAGGTATGTATTTTTTTTTTTTTTTTTTTTTTTTTTTTTTTTGAAAGGAAGGAAGAACAGGATAGTTATATGCAGAGAAGAATGATTAAAAATGAAAATTATGAAGGAAAAAAAAAAACACAACTGGTGGGTGTTTTGAAACAGGTTTGAAGTGAGGCATCCAGCTGTCTTGCTGCCAGGTAGAGTTTAAGTGCTTGAGCTAGTCAACTTGAATTCAAATTTTATTCCAAGCACTGAACTCAGAATCCTTGTTGGTTCTTGTATTATCATTCTTCCCTCATATCATGCAATCCTTTCCACTGTTCAGTTTATCTTTGGGAACAATATAATGAAAATTCCTCAAAGAAATGGGTGAATTGGAAATAATTTTTTTTTTCAGATTTTTATCTCCATAATCATTATTTGAGTTGGAACCCTTTTTGGACCACTTCACCAAGTCTCATTAGTACTTGGATATTGGAGGTTGAAATTTGGGAAGGAAAAACAATGTGACCAGAATTTTGAGTAACCCACTGTAGTGTTACAATGTGACACAATAAAGCCCAAAAACCATTCCCCCCCCCCCCCCAAGAAAGAAAACAGAAAGAAAAATTGGGTCTTTGGTTTTGCAATGCTGCCTCTTCCAAACATTCTAGGTTTTTTTGTAAGCTTCAAATTCATATCTGAAAAGTTTATCAAAGGTTCTTGATAGCCGGTCAAGAGTCCAACCCTTGAGATCCTCATTTTCCGAATCCCATCCTTTACTTGAATAATCCTTATCCACCCAGATTAGTAGCCTACACAGCTCAACAAACACACGCGCGTGGGGGTCTGGTAGGTTTTTGCTCACATATCCTCGGGTGTCTTTCTGCTCAGATGAGATCTGTTTCACTGCCGTTGCTTTACTTGAAGTCACTTACCGGCTTGTAATTATAACCCACTCCCGGGATATCAGGGCGGGATGTGAGTGGTCACTCGTAGTTGCCATTTCAGGCAAGTCCAAGGCCCATTAAAAGGCACATGAGAGTTTTCACGAAGGTGAAAGGAAGTGATGAGCCTATTGCTGACCGTGAGACCTCTGAATGGTCCAATCCTCAAGGTGAATGCGAAAGAGCAGCATACCCCAAGGGAACCCAAACCGCTGGCAATTTTGATTGCGCTATCAAGCGCTGGATCGCACAAGGGAAAAAGGAAAAAGAGTGAAGTCCTATCCACAGATAGATGCAAGCTGACAAACAACCTGGAAGCAGTAAATATTTACAAAGTTCTGAACCCAAAACCAAACAAGAAAAAAATAATCCAAGAAAATAAAAAGAAAAATGCAGTTCTAAATAACGAGGATGTATGCCATTGATGCTTATATCAAGTTAACACAAGGTTCGATGAAACGATTAAACGTAGATGAAAGATGCAATATGTAAAGATTGGAATTGAACAAAAGGGAAATCAAGACAGAATTAAAGGCAGTCCAAACGAGTGTGAATTGGGGGTTAAGGAAGAGTCTAAAAATGTGGGGTATGAGAAGATAAGGAGATCTAAATAAGCTCTAACGCTCAAGTTCGTATTTAATCATCCGCAGGAACTCGGAATGATTGATTCTAGAGTGAGGACAGCTGGAACCATCGGCAGAGACACGATTGGAAGGATCAGAAAGATCTTGAGGGTCCAGTTTTTCGAGCAGCGATTGCAATCCTTGCATGACCTGTTTGATTTGTCGGATATTCACGTAGTCTTCACCGTCGTGGAAATTGGGACTCGGAAGGCTAGAGCAGGGAGACGTGTACTCTTCGCGAGTGCTACCAGAGTTGGTGAAGCCACTGATGCTGCTACTCCGCACCGAGCTTCCGGCGCTGCTCGCGCCTCGACTGATAGCAAGTGACGAGTTCCCCGGCTCAGTCAGGATAAGCTTGCATGCCGCGGCCGGCTTCAGCTCTTGGGCCACATTGATTTCAAAAGATTCAGTCGTCAGATCATCGACACTTCGGCTGTACTCCGATCTCCCAATCTCTCCGCTGGCGTCGTCTCCGGAGTAGGTATCGCCATCTTGTTGGGCCGGGTGGGTTGATGATGGACTCCTACTTCTTCGCCTGACGGTTGAACGGGTATGATGATCCTCTAGAGTTTTGTCCGGGCTGTCTTCGGTTGACTGTGCTTTGTGAGATCTGATGGCGGCTTGTTTCGAATAATTCTGCGAGGGGTTCGGAACTCTGGGTGCGCTGAAGCTCGGCTTGGGAGTGACTTGATTGGCATCTGGATGAAGTGTGGTTCTAGCGAGATCGAAAGATTTCTGGGGTCTACTTGGTCGGTGTTGTTTTCTGGTGGGGGTTGAGTCATCATGTGAAGCGCAGGGACTAGTAGGGCTTTGAATATCCAATGAAAAGACACTCTGAGAGGCGGAGTGAGGATTGGGAGATAGTAGCCTCTGCAGCGGGAGAGCTTGAGGCTTAGATTCCACATATTGGGTCACCCGATTGAACTGCTTGCTAAGATCATTCGTCATCCCGAGCGGCCTTGCTTTGGAAGAGCTTGCTCTTGGGCGAACGAAGGACTCAGTAGGAGTGGGAGATGGGGTGGCTCTGTGATGGGAAGCGTTGCCGATGTTTGGTGAAGGCTGTAAGGCTCTGGGACGGCTCAGTTTCGACGAGCTGTATCCGGGTTCAGCTGTCAAAGGGCGAAATTCCAAGCCATACGGCGGTTAGAAATCAAGGGAAAATCAAAGATAACGGATAGGGTGATGCAGAGGGGAGGTTAGAGAAGCAGAGACTGACAAATTGTTGACGGGTCAGCGCCCCTTCCGGTATCAAATCCGTCGGATTCATCTTCGCTTTCGGTCGTATTTCGCCTGAAGAATGACCGGACGCTCTTGAGCTTGTTATACACGCCTCGATTGGGAGCAGCGGCAGGTTTGGAAGGCAGCAATTGAGGTAATTGGGGTCCAGCATTGGACTGTTCCGTCTGAGGATGAGATAACTGGGTAGAAAGCTTTGGAGTTCGCGGGGGTTGTTCACCTCTAGAAATGTCCATCGACGCCTGGGAGGCCATTGATCTAGGGTGAAGAGATGGGGCCCAGTTGGACGGGCTGGCGTTGGCCGGTGTAAGAGGTAAACTTGGTGAGGTCAGGGCGGCACGAGAACTGACTCGGTAAGGTCGATTGGGCATGGCCGACAGGACTGCTGGAGCCATTTTTACAGGTAGAACGAATGGATGTGATTGCAATCGAGAAAAGGCTGCACGTAGAAACAAACCGATGCTGAGTTGGATGTGGATGGATGATTGGCTGTAGGTAGCAAGACGCCGAGTAGGTTGATTGATGTACGGAAATAAAGAGGATAACTTTTCCTCTTCAGTTTCTAGTGCAGTCCTAAGGTTTTTTTTTGTTTGAAGACTATGATATTCAGAGGGAGCTGATGTTGCAGGGAAAGTGAGTGGGTATATTTGCTGCTGATGGTCCGTCTATAAATAATGTCTTCCTCGAACAAACCAATTTCCAAAATACAAAAATGACTACTATAGACGACAAGCAAAAGCCAAGACGGTCTTGACAATTCAAGGATGACCTCAGGGAAGGAAAAGTGGCCAACCGAAGTGAGGTTTTTAGATAAGTTGACTCCTGAGTACTGATTGCGGTTATGTTATCTCCGACCGTCCTATCCAAGCCTTCCGCGGGAGCTCAAGAGTCTCCATTCAAGGCTCGGGAACAGGCGCCCGAGAACAAGTACACACATGCGGAGAGTTTCTCCTTTGATTTCTCTGATGACGTGGACATCAACAGCGGCAGAAGTCAAACAGTTGGATAAAAACGGTTTGTCTGAACTAGTTTGAACTGCTACTTTTTTGACACAATGAGTAAAATTGCATATTGAAGTGAAAGATCTCGGCCGCCGGCCTCTTACATAACGCCGTTGCAGGCCGTTGACGTATCAAAGCTAAGGACGCCTCTGAAGGGAATGATCACTTCGCCAAGTCCTTCTTTGCAAGCAGCACCGGTGGCAAGCAGAGTGCTGAGTGATGCGGATTCCACTGCTGCAATACTGGAGCTTAAAGACAGAGTGGGTGCCTGCACGCCAAGTCCTTACTAATAAAATTCACAACCGGGTAAAGTATGTATCACTTCGAATTCTTTGAGAGCCAAGATCCTAAAGCTCTGTCGTCACAATTTTTATATGGTCTGGCTGGGCAAGGAACCCACACCGGTTTATCTGCCACGTTAACACGCGTCATGGTCAAAAGGTCGATCAGGTGTGGTGGATGGCGGCGCAGATGGGTACTCATTGAGAACTATTTCACAGTTGTGTCATGTCTGTTGAAAGCTCGTTCCATCAAGTTAAGCTTCTTTGTATTCATTTCCCGTCTTCACAGAAAGCTAGATACCAGGTGCTATCAAAGGAAACTCTACGTGGTCTTGGCGCATACATGCGTGAAGTCTTTAATCATTTCATGAACTGGAAGTGTGGCCAGATTCTCTCGGTGCCCAAGGCTGCTCTTGATTGAAGAGTTGGTAACTCGTGGCTCTTACCTTCAATTCTTTGATTTTGGGCAATGCAAACTTGAAAAGATGTCAATAGAAAGATGTCCATGAACATTTATCTGGTCTGTTACTGATGAGGGGCTTGCTATCTCCGAGCCCAAAAGGTGCCTCTTGTCTAATTTGAGAGCATCGTCACCACGGTGGATGCAAGTGTATGCCTCATAAACACCTTTGTGGGCTCCAAAACCCCTGTTTTTGAGGGTGATGTTACCATTAGCATTGCACACTATGGATATTGTTCAGAATCATTAACCATACAACAGATGTAAATCTAGATCTAGCTAGCTTAAAGTAAGGATGGAGAAAGTCTGCCAGAAACTAACACAATTTTGAAAAAGAAAACTAAGAAAAAAATAATGAAAAAAGTGTAAAAGATAGACATGAAGAAAAGAGAAAGAAAAAAAAAATCCAGCTGGATAGCTGTGCATTCAAATGTTGTTTGAATTTTTTATCTATGAATGTGATGACCAACGGATGAGCCTTGAGGAGAGATTGTTCTTTTGTACTTGGGTACATGTTGGTACCTGTTCAACTTTTTAAGAAAATAGGTACCAAGTACCACACCTAGCACCACCGGTACTTTTGGCGGGTACTGATGGTACTTTTCCTCTCTTTCTCACTTAGACCATCTCCACTGCGGCTGCTAAACTGCACTGCTAAAGCAGATATAGCAGTGCAAGCCCAATTTAGCAGCGCCACCGCGGCTGCTAAACACTGAAAAAATTTGGTACCTTGCCTCTTGGCTGCTATCACAATACCAAATGTAGAATCAGGATAGCAGCTCAAACTCACCAATATCAAAATTTTTCTTGTGATTCTCCTGCTTGCCATTCCCTATCTCCCCCAACACAGCACAACACCTAAGACCAGTGCCGGTCACTAGAACATGTACACTCTTAAAGACCGGTATTGGTTGCTAAAGAATGTACGCTCCCAAAGACCGGTATCGGTCACTACAGTGTCCACTCCCAAAGACTGATAGTGGTCAAAAACAATTCTATATGTACTAATAAGTACCAGTACCGGTGACATGAGGTCTTTACTCTTGAAGACCAATACAGGTAACTGATCACTGGAGAAGTGACCTGTACCAGTTGCTGGAGAGTGTACAATCTCTTTGGATGGTACCGGTCACCAGATAGGGTACACTCTGCTTGGTCAGTACCGGTCACTACAGAAAGAGGACCGATACCAGCCGATATAAAGTGCAGTCTTTGCATGCCCAGGGGGACCTTTCACATTTCCCAGTTGCTATTATAGCAACTTGTGGTGCAAAACCAACTGGTTGCAAGCTGCTAAAAACGTGCTGCAGTTGCCAAACTTTGAGATTTGGCAGCTTGGATAGCAACTTGCAGTGGAGATGGTCTTAGTTTGGCTGCAAGCCAATCTGCAGGGGGCTAAACCCATATGGCACTTGAGTGGTTTCAAGAAAAAAAAACAAAGGGCCTTGAGGCTAGGGGAAACCCCTCCCACTGTTCAGTCTTGAGGCTAGAGATTGTTTGTCAGTACCCGCCGCTAGGTACCTAGCACCACTTGGCGGGTACCACCTGCACCCGCCCTGCACCTGCCACCCACCAGGTGTTGCCAGGTGCCTTTTTTTTGGGCAAAAAAGCCAAAGGATACCCAATGCCGGAAGGGGAGATGGCCGGCTGGAAGGGTTTCCTTCCAGCCGGCAAGGTACATGTACCTCAACGGCTGGAAGGAAATCCTTCCAGTTGACGAGGTACATGTACCTTGTCGACCGGAAGGACACCCTTCCAGCCGGCGCAGTACATATGTCTTGATGGCTGGAAGGAAATCCTTCCAGTCAACAAGGTACATGTACCTTGTTGACCGGAATGAAACCCTTCCAGCCGGTCCCTCTCCGGACCTTTAAAGGGCGGGTATCTGTCGATACCCGCTGTGGCCAACGGATACCCGCCAGCGGGTGCGGATGGCCATTTTGCCGGAAAAAGCAGCCGGATATCCAGATGCGGAGTGACCATCTCTACCTTCACCAATGTGAATTATCCAAGGCATGCACAATTCCCTCATTCAGAGCATCCTGGTGGTACAATATCCCCACTCCAAAGATAGAGGGACTGGGTTAAGTTAAAGTTTGCATACAATTAATCATGCAATAATTGGCTCCTAACTAAACAAGGTCCCTTCCATTGGAGGGGGGGGGGGGTGCTGTCCCGCAGGGACCCTCCAATGTGACAAGTGGTTTACCACTCAGACAAAGGGGGAAGGGAATTAATTAAGTTAGAATAGGGCAGTTCACATTCCAGCCAAACCTCTGCTGATGCAGCTTAAGGTTTGCCTGCTGATGCACAAACCTGATGAACTTTAAATGTGAGATTTTGAATCCAAAGGGGGACCTCCCACTAAACTATTTTGGTTTCTTAATATGCTCATGTTTATGTTGCTGCCAAACAGGGTCATAACTCTTTGCCAAGAAATGTTTCAAAAACATTTGATGAACCACAATACAAATCCAAACAGTGTAAATAATACTGAATATTAGATGTGCACAGCCACACATGTCAAGTACATATTGGCTGTATCAAAATCAATACCGGATATGCCAAGCCAATGATATCATCTATGTCATAGATAAGATTGCAGAGGATTTCAGAGCTTCAAGGAAAATTGATTGGGAAGTTTCATCTATGTAGTTTCAAGTGTTTCCACATTTCCAATACATGTCTACTGTCTCCACTCAAACCTAGAAGAAGAAAAGCATTGGCTTAAATCAAGTGACAGTAACTCCATGTACTCGCAAGTCTCAAGCAATGCTATGATGTGGTTTGTGATAATGAATGATTGAATTATCACCAACTTGCTCACTCTAGCCATGAACACTAGTGTCTAGTGAGTCGGATGGTGACCCAGTAACTGGGTTACAACATGCTATCCCGAACCTGTTTCAACTTTGGACATTTCCACGTCTCGCATTTTGGAAAATATGTCCACAAGTGCGCTTTAGGCATCAGACAAGGTCAAAATGCGCGTTTGCTTGGCTCTCTGAGACTCATGACCTCGGCGGCAGTGTTTTGATATTGATGTTGAGGAGAATCGATTCTCGATTTGACCACTCTGAGACAACTCTGCGTTTGATATGTACATAGCGATTCGTCGACTTTGATGATACAAACGGGCCTGGCTCTTGAAGCTCATGTATCATTGCGTGTTCCGTCTTGCCATCCCTCAGTGAAATTGGTTGGAAGGAAAGGGGTGCAGAGACAAAACATGTTTCTCTAAAAGCGAGATCGCTCAACCATTCTTGCCAAGCACTTGTTCCAGTAATGTTTCTGCTTGTGCCTATCAAAGAGCAGTCCACGCAGCAAAACAGATCATGAGTTTGGGTCTATCGTTGTTACCCTGGGTGATAGGATAAAAGGACGCCCATAATCTCGTCAGGAAAGCATCAATCCACCCAGATCACCAACAGCAGCTGCCCTATTTATACTATTTATTTATCTTCAACTGTCCATTGCATTCACACTCACTTAATCCCGATCTATTCTCACATTCGAGTAACGCTCAGTCATTCATTTGTTGTTTAACTTAATATCAACCAAAAATGCATCTAGCTTCATTCATCATTCTCAGCTTGAGCTTTTACTATGCTCAAGCTGACTCGAACACTTCCATGTCAGGCCCTCAACTCAAGCCCATGCAGTGCACCAACATTTACTTGACTTTGTCAGAACGTGACATAGCCGAAATGCAAAGCAAGGGTGGTCTCAATCCAAGCCAACGGGCCAAATGTTTGTGGACCATAATCTGATCAATACCTTAATGTTCAACTGTTCTGAGATGTTGTTCCTGCTGCATACAGTGTCCACCAACCCAGTCGAGGCCGTCTGCAAAAGCAGTGCCGCGGGTGACAATGGGGGTTTGTGCGACTTCAAGACTTGCTCCGGGAAACCTGCAGGTACGTGACTTCATTTTTTGAGTTGAAAATTGGAGTCCTAGACTAAACCTAAGGAGTTTTATTACAATCCAGTTTGTGGTACCTGCTACCCAGTTACAATGAAAGAAGGTAAACTGGTGAGGACTTCCGAAACATCTGTTGAAAAAGTGGAATGTGGAAAGAATTACTTCTTGAAAACAGAGAAGGACCACAACAGTACGTTATGAATGATGGATAGGAACAGAAATGTTCAAGAACTAATAGATACACATGTTTTTAAATAGTCTGTACTGCCTATGATAACAAGATGTACAGTTGCACTGGGGAATGCAAGGCTTCAATTGGTAAGAATTCCTTGGGTGTGGGATCATTTCATCCAAAGGCAACTGATATTTATTGTTATCAATTCTTCCCTATTCAGAATGCCAGTCTTGTGTTGGTTTGGATGATCCAGCCTTCAAGAAGGCTTCCTAGGTGATACATCCTCATCACTCTTTGGTCTCTTCTTTTTTGTTTATTTGAGAATACTTTTGAATTCAATTCATCATAATTTGGGCAGTTTCACCAACTGCAGTGTGGATGTGAATTATTTGTTCCATGGTAGATTTTGATTCTCATTATCTATTAGATATTAGATACCTTACATCATTTGAATGGTTTGTTTAATTCAAATCTATTTGAATGCACATTTCCTCTTCTTGATCATTTAAAATATTCTGATTTGACTTTTGAGGGCATGATATGAGTCTATGAGAGAAAATTGATTCCAGCTTGGTACTTTTTTGGTGTTATACTGCCACCATAAAAAGAATCTTCTTTACAACTAATGCTTGCAAGAAGATGGCTTAGAAGTCAATCAAAGCCTAGAAAAACATATCAGAAAAATAAATCAAATTTCAATTATATTTGCACTGTGAGACCAATTGACTCAAAAAGGGCAAAGAAACCCAACAGGGGCCAGGGGCACCCCATCCTGTTAGTTGAATTGAGAAGGCTATGGATATCAGATATAAATTATATCCAGCCAGGAACACAATAATCACATGCAAATGCCTGAATCAGCCCCCAACCACCCCCAAATACCAAGGTGACAGCATTTCTGTTGAACACTCTGACATCCAGATGGAAAGTTTGATGAATGTCCAAGCAAAGAAAAATCTTACACACTTGTAGAAACTATATTTTCTTGGAGCCTTTTTACCAAGGAAATATTGCCTCCCTTTTGTTTTTAATGTTAAGTTTTAATTTCTGATAGACATGACCAATTTTTTTCCTAAAAAGTATCATATCATGCCCTCAAAATTCAAATCAGAAGATTTTCAATGATCAAGAAGAGGAAAAGCATTTAAATAAATTTGAATTAAACCAACAAGTCAAATGGTGTTGTGGGAGTGCAAGCACAAGGGGGGTGGGAGTACGGTTTTCATTCCCTGTGGCATATATGGATGTAAATGGGTAGTTGGTGAAAAAAAAGGTGCCCAAACCCATCCCTGTGTAAAATTTGGTTTGGTTTGGGGCAAAACTACCAACATACTGCCCAAACCCAAGCCCATTTATGAAAAATGGGATCCAGGTTGGGTCTTGGGCCGACCCAAATGTTTGGGGGGTGAAGCAAGTCTTGCTTCATCAAGATTTCAGGGTCAAGAATTATTCATATTACATTTCTTGAACACAAATCTTGTCTTGATTGTGCTGTAAATCCAGATTGTACTATTTCTGAGTGGTGTATTGATCATAGATATAGGGCCTTGGTTAATCAAATCCCAAAATTGGGAGTCTTTGAGGGGACTGCCTGGAGACAATGACCCCATCTCCAAATCCCTGCCCCCCTTCAAATGTGGCAGTCATACCTCCTATTCCTGCAATGGGAATAGGGGTCTTCTCACTAGGGATATAATATAAAAAAAGCAATCCCTGGAGAAAAATTCAGGGGAATGCAAGATTTGTCAACACTCAGCAGCCAGAATCTGCTTGTCCATTGAGGCTTGCCCCCCCCCCCCCCCCTCTGTACACCACAATGGCAGAGAGTGTACAACTCCCAATGGCCAAGGGTTTTAGCATAAAAACATATTAGTAAAATATTCAAGGCTGAAATAATTCAATAATAAAAAAGACCCTTTGCCTTCTTTGTAAAATGGGTCCAAATATCACTGGTGGTCTTGCACTACCTTTTTGTTTGATCAGTAGCGGAATCTTTAGCACTTGATGTGGTCTGTCCATTTCTGTACAGATTCTTTTGTGATGCTGAGTGAGTAGCAGACATTGTCTGGGTGGTGGGGGAGGGCTCATAAATCTGTATTTCATTGGAATCTGAGGAAGGTGGTAGTACAGAAGTGCAACTTTTTTTGAATCAGACCAAGTGGGGATCTGAGGGATCTGTTGAGTCTTGAAGGTGGAATAGACGTATTTACTTGTCATTTTGTAGCCTGGAACTTGGAAGGCAGGAGCCAAGCCTGATATGAGGGCCCAAAAAATTTTCATTCAACAATACACACACAGCTACCCTATTTAATTGGATTTTAGTTGGGTTTGCATGCCGGCCCACATAAAAATCCTCTTCCCAAACTCAATCATCACTTTTAAGCGGGTCTTGATGGGCCAGGTCAGCTCTTTATGGCAAGAAATAAAGGCTTCCCAAACCTGACCCAAAACACAACAGGTCATGGGTCTTTCCGGGTTGGCCCAACCCATTTACATCTCTAGTAGTGTAGCAGCCCACCATTTTGTGCAACATCTGACTATTTTTTTCCTGGAATTCCATGTGAAATCTGATCATTTCTTCCACAGATTCATCAGGTGTCACAAGTTCAAGCATCTACATTATATTTCTCAATTATGTTGTTGCCAAGCAAGGCCTAAATAGAGGATATCAAATTGGTTGATTCTTCAAATTATTTCACTCTTTCCACAATGAAACATTCCATCCTAAACGTAAGCAATAGATCTCCATCAATGTTTTGAGAATTGATCAATTGCAGAAGGCACTAAATAATTATTTTGGGGAAGGAAAAATTGGTGAAGTGTTCCATCCTGATTTCAGAAGAAAACAGGCAATTCACAATATTTTTGCTTGTGCAATGTGGTTGTGACATCCACTCAATTGGTTTTTGGAGTCCACCAAGTGTGACCACCCTATCATGATTATAAACTCATTTTTCAATTTGCTTCACTTTGAAACCCTCTCCTTATTGATTTTTGTACTAGCTAATCTCCTTTCTATACCTTAAATTTTTTAAACTCAAATTCAGTATAGCAAGTGAATAATCTCAAGTAATATCTCAGAAACTGAAATCATATGAGGACTTAGAAAACATGCATTCAGATTGGTATTGAATTGAATTCAAATCAGTCAATTCAGTTTCTTTAAGGGATCTACTGGAGGACTTCCCATCGGATCTGGGACCCTTGCAGTTTTTGATTTAGACCCAAAAATTCTAGATTTTTTCAGGGAAATCTAACTTTTTTGGCTCTAAATGGAAACTGGGAGACCCACAGATGTTGTCGGGAAGTCATCCACTATCTGATAGATATTGATAAAGAAATTCTATTATGGGAAAAAGAAGTATTTTCCATGCAGTAGTTGTAAAACTACTGACATGATGATACATTCAATTCAAACATATTGCCAGATAACCAAGAAAAAACAAGCAGAAACCAAAGAGTGAAACAGATATATCATCTAGGATGCCTTCTTGAAGGCTGGGTCATCCAAACCAACACAAGACTGACATTCTGGAAAGGGAAGAAAGAAGAATGTTAAATCTCTGTCTCCTTTTGATCAAATGATTTCAAGCACCCAATCATCCTTACCAATTGAAGCCTTGCATTCCCCAGTGCAGCTGTACATCTTGTTATCATAAGCAGTGCAAACTGTAGGTAAAAAGCACTTTGTTAGTTGTGGATTAATTTATCAAATATATTGCATCTGCTTCATCACGCATAACCTACCATTGTGGTCCTTCTCTGTCTTCAAGAAGTAGTTCTTACCACATTCTACTTTCTCAACAGATGTTTCAGAAGTTCTCACTAGTTTGCCTTCTTTCATTGTAACTGGGTAGCAGGTACCACAAACTGAAATGGAAGCAAAATTCATCAGGATTGTTGAATTCTTGTCTACAAAATGAAATAATGGCTTACCCGCAGGTTTCCCGGAGCAAGTCTTGAAGTCGCACAAACCCCCATTGTCACCCGCGGCACTGCTTTTGCAGACGGCCTCGACTGGGTTGGTGGACACTGTATGCAGCAGGAACAACATCTCAGAACAGTTGAACATTAAGGTATTGATCAGATTATGGTCCACAAACATTTGGCCCGTTGGCTTGGATTGAGACCACCCTTGCTTTGCATTTCGGCTATGTCACGTTCCGACAAAGTCAAGTAAATGTTGGTGCACTGCATAGGCTTGAGTTGAGGGCCTGACATGGAAGTGTTCGAGTCGGCTTGAGCATAGTAAAAGCTCAAGCTGAGAATGATGAATGAAGCTAGATGCATTTTAGGTTGATATTAAGTTAAACAACAAATGAATGACTGAGCGTTACTCGAATGTGAGAATAGATCGGGATTAAGTGAGTGCGAATGCAATGGACAGTTGAAGATAAATAAATAGTATAAATAGGGCAGCTGCTGTTGGTGATCTGGGTGGATTGATGCCTTCCTGACGAGATTATGGGCGTCCTTTTATCCTATCACCCAGGGTAAAGACGATAGACCCAAACTCATGATCTGTTGTGCTGCGTGGACTGCTCTTTGATAGGCACAAGCAGAAACATTACTGGAACAAGCGCTTGGCAAGAATGGTTGAGCGATCTCGCTTTTAGAGAGACTTAGTCAGTCTCATCACAGGCCATAAATAATTAGGAGAGTTCACATTTGAAAGATTTCAGCAAATTTTTTACATGAAACCAGCAGAGCTGTGTCTGCCAAATTTTAAGTTTTTTGAAACCAGCAAGGCGCAGAAATTTTATCTGAAATCAACACATTTTTATTCAAATGTGAACCATCCCATTAGCCGCAGAAGCACATCTGACAAGCTATCAGAATGCATACGGCATAGAAAAAGTCCTTCTGACTCTCATAGGAATATCTTTCACATTTGCAACAACAAAAATCACGGTAACGTTGACAACAATGTTCAACTTAGGGTCATGTGATCGGTGACTGGTGACACTGTCAGGTTGTTCATCCTAACTTGCATCTAGTCGTACTCCAGCCATGACGCATTTGGCGCTTGCTCGATTCGCCGTGTTTTATCCATCGGAGGATGGCAACATCGGATCTTAAGAGAACGTCTTGCGTTGCCCAAACACGCTTGGAACGAAATCTTGCCACTTGAATCAAGTCAGCACGAGCAGTCTAGCTACCGGAATCTTGGCCACCACCCTCACTTATTGCTTTGGCGAGGTCGGGTTGATACGCTATTGAGTCATTGACTCTCGAAAATGAAACAATGCACTGCTCCCTTGATGGAACGACGCAACCGGTGCTTAACTATCTAGGGTTGCACTCACCGACATCGGATACTTGTGCTCACCCCATGCCTGAGACCAGAGTGGTCTGCTGGGTTGCGGTTCCGCATGAAGATAAAAGGCAGTCTTGCCACTTGCCAGAATCCTTTCACTCATCAATCCTGTCAACCAATCTCACATACACAACACTCATACCGATAGTACTATCATTAAGAAATCTCCTTCATTACACATTTCCCTCTATATTTCAGTCTTAATCCTGACCGTCTTTCTTTCAATCTAAATATTTCATATCGAACAAAATGCGCTGCGTCTTTTTCGTTATCATCAGTGTTGGCATGTACGCTGGCTATGTTTCTGGCGACCAGACGCCTATCCCAAGCCCCAACCCAGGAGCCGACACCACAAGCAAGTTGGCGGATAATCAGCAGCTACCCCCGCCAGTGCCTATGGAGTGCAAGAATACATACGTACCCGTCTCGGAGCGCGATATAGCTGCAATTGAGAAAGAAGATAACGCGAATGACCCGAACAAGAAAGGCTCGGACGCTGCCGCCACACCAGATGCCGATTTGAGTAAACGTGAGCCGATTGAGCACGCAGATACAACGATACATAGCACTAGACTAATGGCTTTTCTTAAAAACAGTTTCTGATGAGCAAACAATGGCTATCTGCGAAGCAGCGACGGATTCTAAGCCAGGACTTTGCGAAATTAAATCTTGCAAAATTCCACAGAACCCTGGTTTGCAATATGCCCTTCTTTCGTGCACTGTTCAAAATTTTGATATGCAAAACAAACTCAAGCTACAATGATAAATGTTGATTGGATATTTCCCATTTCAGTTTGTACTCAGTGCACCGAATTGGACAAGGATAGCAAGGACTTCACCGAAGTGAAAGGCGCAACTCCAGTTGACAAAATTGAGTGCGATTCTGGTTATTCTTTAAAGACCCCAGAAAATAAACAAAAAGGGAACAGTAAGTTTACAAATGAGTCAAATCTTATCCAAAATTGAACATACTGCCAGAGCTAACAAATCACCTCTTGAATCTTCGCAGTGTGCATGACAAAGGAAAAAGGCTATATGTGCGCTGGGGACTGCCAAGGTACAATTGGTAAGTCTCTAGCATTTGACATGAACTTGGAAATTCTAGCAAGCAAGCTGACCCTATCCCTTCTTCCCAATTAAAAAAAAATCACCTACAGCATGCCAAACGTGCTACACTGACAACAAACCCGCAAACTCTGGAAAACCCAACCCAACCCAGTGATGGGGAGGATTTCCTGTTGATTTTTCTGGTCTTCTTGGCTCAGTTATTTCCTTTACACATGATAAGGGTTGATTCTTTGAAAATTTCACAATTTATAGATGGACTTTTTGAACACATGGGCATCATTTGCTAGTGTTGCTTCATATCTTTTGAAATTACACATTCTCTCATAAAATTTGAATTCTGAGCTATTTGTGAATTTCAAATCAAGTTGGATCATATTTCAAAGACCTACTGAAGACTTGCCAGCATCCAGTCATTGGATATGGTCTTTGGTTGGAAAAACTGATTGAAGAAGGAGAAATACCAATTCTTGTCAAAGATCAACTGGCTCTTAGCCTTACTCACTTGATGTAAGTTATATGCAGTTGACCTCATTCTTGAGATTGATTTCAACTCTTAAGCCATAACATTGTTCCCTCTTTACCATGTGGTGCAGTAAGATCTACCACATTAAACATTTAATAGCTGAGGAACAAAGTGATATATAGAATCATAAGGTTCTTTGTAAGTTCAATCACATTGCTCACAATGATCAGTGCAACTTCTGGGTGTTTTTACTGTGACCCACCCAACTGAACAAATTTCAGTGAGATTGAAACTTGATTTGCTCACTCAATTAGCAAAAATGCAATTACATCTACATAATGATGTCCAATGATTTTACATAGAATTCATCTCTCCAAAATTGACCTGAATTTCAATCTCAAAAGGATTGATGCTTCTTATTGCAAAAAAGCACCGTTTGTGACCCTCTTGGTAATATGTATGAACCCAAAGGGTTGCCGGAATACTTCCAAGAAAACCAAGATCCCATTGGACTTCATAATGACCATGTCATTGGAGTTGCCAACTTTCAGAACCAGAACAACTAAGCAGAAACAACAACAACTGGGTGAATCATCAAAATGATCAATCATTACCTGAATCATTGAATTCTGATGCCAAACTTCAGGGTCTGGTCAAAGTATGTTGCGCCACAACCCAACAAATGAGAGTGGTGTGAGTGGAAAGGGAAGCTCTCTGGAGTATCCTGCATGAACGGCGGCCAACTTCTAGCGGATGAGGAACCACCTGGAGCTCCGAAATCCTTTCTCAACGGATAAATCTTACAATTGTGCAGCTTTCACTCCACGATTCAATGTTGGAAAGGTTCAGGCCTTAGGAGAGTTCGAGGAACCTGCAAGAAATTTCAGCGCGGGGAACGAAACGGCCATCGTTGGGCCTGATGTGTAGCGGTGAGGACGTCTTTGGCATTGTGCAAGCGACGCGTCTGACTATATTTATGAATTCAAATGGAACCTTCCTCTTTACAAAGTAGCGCTGAGTGGGTTGGTACCGCTCATGTGTTTACTTATTTTGCGCGCCCTCATTCCTGGCATTCAGGCAGTTGGCAGGCTGAGACATGATGACCCATGAGGAGATCATGGGGTTCCTGGGTGAAGTCTGTGGTAGTGACGTGAAGGAGTGAAATGATGATGCATTTTTGAGCAGGTGATGAAGCGTGATTGCAGAGTGTATGTAAGCATGTAAGGTGAAGAGTGTGAAAGAGGCATGAAACAAGAATCCCAAGGTTGCACAAAAGAAGGTTTAGTTTATATCGCGTGTTGGCGTGGGCATCAGTAACATAGTAACTATGGAGCGACGATGAGTTTACAAAAAGGGAGGAAGACAGTCTTTTTTTTGAATGCTA